ATCTGATTCCAACCAAATTCAGAATGGATTCTGCTACATTCCGAGCCACATTCGGAAGACTCGGAAGAGCTCTGTTTCCGATATGGCATTCTGCTTCCACCGATAACTCTTCGAATCTCACTTCAACACTCGCCAGCTTAATTCCAACCCTGCAATTAATGCAACATTCCATTCGATTTGATTTCAATCTCAATTAATCAGCGATTTTTAGGGTTCATTAATTACCTATCGATTCTATCTCTGAGTTTCCTCAAGAACTTCTCGTTGTCTTCCTCCGCGACCTTGAAAACCGTGTCGATGAACTGCCGGCGATCGTCCATGTCCAGCCTCCGGACGTCGATCTGTTTGTGCGTTTGTCCGATTTCATCGTTTCCGGTGAAAGATTTGAAGATGCTGGTTCGGAGACGGTCGTAGGTCGGAAGTTTCTCTATGACCGCCCACCGCAGGGCTTCTTCGTCCTCCTCGGAATGGCTTAGTCTTCTCGAACTTCTACCGCCGGAAAACACAAACTCGATGCTCCGATCACTTCTCCGGCTCCCGATTCTTTCGTTCTCCACTTCATCCATGTTCACTCTCCTCCTCTCTACTCGCAAATTATTCCTTAACTAACTTCCTCAATTTATAGATGAAAAATAACGGTTACAAGTAATCACCACCGTCGGCAATGGAATGCCAGCGGCCTTCGCAGCATGAAAGGAGGTTGGTGGCGGGCACAAATGGAGGTGAAGGGTTCGAGATAAACATAGGATCAGAACTCAAACAGCAGGACCATTTAGTACAACGATAATAAACTTCAGCTTTCAAACTACACAAGATGACAGAAGACTACCGACTTACCCTAAGCATGAACTCTAGCATTAGGCTCTTTCCAAATAAGTCCATGTCAATCGCCACAAGACGAACAAGATTTCTTATCTGCTATTTTTAGTAGAAATATATGTGTTTGGTCAAATAATAATAATAATAAAATATAAAAAAATCTATCAATTTAAGTCAACAGATCTAATTTAGTTACCATCTCTAAATTTGGTTTAGATGTAAGTTTTACTAGGTATGTCTTATATACTGCTTTTCTACAACTCTCTCAACAACTAAGAGATCCATTTGAGGGATACATGGACTAGTTGAAATAACGAGCCTTACAGATAAAGTTAATTGTCATATCATATTTCTATTACTCAATTAATAATCAAAAGAAAGTCATTGTGTCCCTTTTTTTTTATTTCAAACATCAATTAAACACATAACTCATGTTTTTGATTTCGAAAGTGTATTTTTCTTATAATTAATATTACTATTTATGAGTGATATTTTCTCATATTTTCTAATACTTCGTCAAATTATTTATGCTCTTTTAAGTTAACGTTGAATCTATGAATATAGATAAATATCTGATGAAATTTTAACATGGCCTGTGCGAGTGGCTGAAATTTATAACAAAAATAAAATCTATATGGTTACCTTTACAAGGAACTTGATTGATATTCTATTACAAATCAATATTTCAACACAACGTAACTTTTTTTTTCCTATCAAAAAAGAAAACAAAAAACACAACAATAAAACTAAAAATTTACTAACAAGAATATAACCATATATACTACTCAATTTATTAAAAATAATATATGAAAGTAAAATTATCTTTTCAACTATAACTTTGTTTTTAATAAATACAGTAGGTAGAGATCGACATTCCAATTTACGAATGATTAATTATAATTATAATCAAATTCAATGATTTTCAATTAAAAATAAATTTACATTCACTTGATTAAATATAAATAAAGTAACTACTCAACGGTCAATTTAAATATAATTAAATGAATGAACTATTTATTACCATCTCAAA